GTAGTAGTAGAGAGAGAGAGAGAGAGAGAGAGAGAGAGAGAGAGAGAGGGGGGGGGGAGATAGATAGGGAGAGAGGAGCGACCAGGAAAATGAAAGTGAGAGTGGGGGAACGGGAGATGGTAAGAGAGAAGGGAAGTGGAAGGGAAAAGGAGTAGGATCGAGACAAAAAGAGGGAGAAAGCGGAGATCAAGAGCGCATACTCAACATAGGGAGAGAAGGGGAAGAGGAGATAGCGGAGAGGTGGAGAAAAGTAGATGAAATGAGGTTATAAATGTATAATAGATATGTTTCATATATGTTTCTCTGATGCAGACATTCCTACACGCAACCATATTCATAACGATTATAATCATATAACATATATATTGCCCGTAATATATATTTACATCGTAAATCCCACCTTTGAATATTAACCACGATTGATTTTCGTGTTCTTTCTTTCTGTTACTTTACCGTCTAGAGTTAAACAGTCCCTGTCGGCAAATTAGCTTTCTAGTTGGTGCATGAGGTTGAATCATTGTGACACTGTATGTTGAATGTCGCGTCTACAATAGCAGAGCTCCCGACGCAGGGCGTACGTCATAGCGGCTTTGAATTCTGACGTCAATTAATCCTCGTCGTGAAACACGGATCCATATGCCTACCACCGCGGTTACCTAATGGCAGTGTGTACCGTATTACACTAGGATCATTGCCCACAGGCTGCTGCGAATGTCACCGTGGTACATACGGCACGATAGAGAACGGGAAATATTGTATCCACACGACAAAAAAAGTGGTCGAGGCACGGGCACAGACTAACGTATACGTGAATACGTGAGGTATTCGTACGTCTGCGTTCGTCGGCTTCGTATAGTTCTCCACATCACGCTGGCTGCATCTAATAGCCTTACCATTATTGTAATTACTATCAATTAGCAGTGTAGTGTACGGTTGTGTAATAAGTAGCTTAGATGTAATTACTATGGTAATCTGCGGGTTATACTCTACTACTCTTTAGTTCACATCGCACGAGTAGGCCCTATATAGTTATGTTGGTGTGCGTCTCGCCTTATTATGGACGCCATTACACGTATATAGCCAAACTTCTGCTGGGAACTTCCCATTGCGCACGTGCGGTTTCTGCAATTGTGTGTACGATAGTAACTCATGGCTTAAATAAAGAAAATTGTGAAATTTACACGAATTGACGCTATAGGATGATCGGACGCCGTTGTGACGTCATCGTCATTGTACTACCACGTTCTTCGCTGCTAATGAAGTCGCTGCTGTCCTAATTAATTCGAGCTTGATCAATTAGACATTGGGTGTCGGCGGCAAGGAACGCTTCAACCATTGTCTGCTGCTATTATTATTAGTAGATAATCGGTCTTCCGCTGGCTCGGGATGACTGTAGCAACGTAGCCACTCTTCACACATCCACGCGGTGTTATATTACCGGTACGGGCATATTAGATTAGCTGATTATTAGGATATATACGTGTCTGTGTGTGTTAGGCATAAGTACATATGCAGCGTAAGTAGGGGCCTACTCACGTGCGTATAGGCCTAAGTACATGCATGAGTACTCACGTCGCTTCAATGACGACTCCTACACCCGCTGGCTGAATAGCTTGTGTCAACGCCACGGCTATTTGCTTTGTCAACCGCTCCTGAACTGTAAAACATACGCACGCGACAGACATCATTAATTAAAGGCAATCAAAGGCATACTACGTGACGCGTACGCGCACTGGATCCGTATTACGATTTCCGAGAAGCATTCAGTTATTTGACTATAGAAATTGGCTATCGCCAGCCACATGAAAAAACATTGCTTTCTTAATTTCTCACTGCATGCGCTATAAAGTATAATACGGTGTTTTTCAATTTCTCACTGCGTTATAAAGTATAATACGACGAGTATACGTGTAAATTATCTATTACAAATTCTAATAAAACAAGTTAATATTTAACGGTGAGTTTCGAAGCTAGTAATTTCAATATAAACGTAGGCTGATCTCTCATTAACATACCTGGGTTCATTTGACATACTTGAAAAAGACATCAAAACAAGATAGAGTTAGAAGTCGAAGGGTTAATTGGAGAAATGTACAGCATTACCAGAGTTGAATTTAGCTACGTCATTCTTGAGTAAAAAATATAACCCCAGGTATGTAATATATCTTGGTAAATTGAATTTTCTACTACTAACTTTTATACCTTGTGAATGGTGTGTCAATTTTTTTGGCACTACAGAAACGTTTTCCACGTTTTTTGTTAGAATGGCCAGAATAACTATTGATGATTTCTAAAACTAATAAAATAATCAACGAAACGAAATTATTAAACTAAAAGTATGTACAATTACAAATTGTTACCTTGTAACCGCCTGCAGTAAACTTCGACAATTCTGTAAAATAAATAATGTTATATCCAACTGTATAAAGCTAGGCGTATGTAAGCGAAATTTACAATGTTAGGCCTACCGTGTGTAAAGCACATAGGCGTACATAAACATAATTTTGCTAGATGACACCTATTCAGTAAGCTGTAGCTATACTATTATATTTACATGTGATTTTATATAGGAGGTATTTTGTTAACGAGAGCATTTGTATGGTAGTATTATATATAGGACTATGCCTATGTTTTTACCAGGCATGCAGACTGATACCACGTCACATACTAAAACATTCCTCTTTCTCCCCTTCCTCCTCCTCCTCCTCCCGCTCCTCCTACCTCTCTTCCGCTTCCTACTGACCCTACTCCTCCTCCATATTCTAATCCTGATCCGCAATCTTTTTCATCGCTCTCCTCATTTTCCCCTGACTGCTTTCTCTCCGTCTCCTGCACCTTATTCTTTGTCAATTATCAACATCTTTCTCCTCCTCCTCCTCCTCCCGCTCCTCCTACCTCTCTTCCGCTTCCTACTGACCCTACTCCTCCTCCATATTCTAATCCTGATCCGCAATCCTTTTCATCGCTCTCCTCATTTCCCCCTGACTGCTCTCTCTCTCCGTCTCCTGCACCTTATTCTTTGTCAATTATCAACATCTTTCTCCTCCTCCACCACCCTCTTCTTCTCCTCCTCCTCTTCCTCCTCACACCTCCGCAAAACTACTCAGGAGGGCCAAAATTACTGATAAAAATGGTCCGTGCGTACAATCATACATTACATAGATGGGACCAATAATCCAAATGGGGGAAAAGTTTTTTCCGAAATTGTGGTGTCTCTGTCCCATTTCTACCAGCTTCATTGTCTACTCTAACAGCTATTCGGTTATATATCAATAATTAACATACGCAACTAACGATTTTTACCTTGCGATTTTGCTTAGCCCGAGTACTCTCTTGTTTGGTAAATACCCGATTGAGACCTAAAACGAGTAAACACTTTATTATGCCACTTATTTTTTTACATGTTTTACAGAATTATATACTTTATTGAAACACAGCACGAAGACATCAGCACTAGTCATTGATGTAGATTTGGTGTAGGAATGAGTATGCGTGTTCAATACTCTTATTTCTAGGAACTAATCAATTTCAGATATGCATCCGCTGCTCCGCAATATATCGTTGATATAGAAATAATATATTAGTTATGCATAAATATTATACACCTCTATGAAGAGACTCGCATTTTGTCTATAGTAGCTTTAAGAACGTCAATAATTAGTGTTAATGCAATCCAATCTCGGAGATATCCTAAACGGACTAGCACTGCCAAATACCGTATACAACACGCATCGCATACTACGGTCTTTGGCGTTATCAGTCACCTATCGCCATCTAGCGGAACTTAATGTCAGATTTACACTGAATAAATTATCTATTTCAACGAATTTCAACGACTGCACGCTGTTACATTTTTACCCATACAATCATATCACATTTTAATTTTTATATAATATTCATTTTTTGAAGCTTAATTACGCACCTTTCCGATGAATGGTACCAGGTGATGTTCGCACATTGAGAACATCTCTATGTCTTTGACGATGACCATTTCGTCGTGGTCCTCATCGAATATTGCGTCGTTTAGTACATCTGCAAAGGTAATTAGAACAGTCCATCACAAACACTCGAACACAATCGTTATATTGAATTTCGCTGGTTGTCCGTACAAACGAAAAACTGCAATGGGAACGTTATCTATTCACTACATGGTGGATTTCGCAATATATACGTTCCTTCGCACAAACTCCTACTTTAGAACCACCTTACGATAAAGTATAGCGCAATCTTCGTGCCACGATTATTTTTATGCGGTCGTGCATGTAATTATATATATATATATATATATATATACATATTCGGCGTTCGCAACGAAAGTATTTACCCGTAAAAAATCGGCAGCAATGCAAAAGAGGTGGTTTCCATATATATCTGCTTCTAAAGAGTTACACCAAAACTGTCTAACCGGCGCTTGGACCTACTCTGCATGGTGTTCGGCTAGATACAACAATGTAACCAAACAAGAGTACCTATAGGGTTGAGTAGACAAGGGTAGGATACAGGGGTCCAATAGGGTACAAGGGTAGGGTACAAGACAAGGGTAGAGTACAACCCTACTCTTGTTGGGTTACATTATTGTATAGTGTTCGGCCAACTTCTGTAAGTGGAGGTTATAGGAGAGAAAATTATGCTGACACGCCACCTTGTATCAGAGCAAACAATTTTCATACCTTTACCACAATTTTAGTAATGTATATACTGGGAAGCTCTGCTATTGAGAGGAGTTCGTTTGATTGCTGGATACAAATTATCGCAACCTATATTTCCCATAGCGTGCGTCAGCCGTACCGAAATCTAACTCAACCAGACTTGCTGACTTCCCGATCTATAATATTGGAAGGAAATATCAGACCATAGTGCAGCGACCTTCCACCGTGAATGGTAACAGGAGTAAAAGCATTTTGACACGTTATGATTTTTCACTACGGTCGATACATACAGGTGTACATGTTGACGGCTTGAATGCAATTCTTCGTCGTTGATTGCCTGCCTCGCCTTGAACTCCCAAGTTACATTTTACAGAAATCCGTGACGTCAGCAGAAGCATAATGAGTCAATGGTGACATTTAAAGAAGGGGTGCCCCGTTAGTCGGCAGAAATCGATTGGTTATATTCTTTTGTCGTTTTTAGGCGGAAGGAAAACGGGAAACGAGTCTAACCGCGCTGCCTGTTGTACGGGGGCACGATCTGATGGGTGTAAAATATAATGTTTAGGCAGGAAGGAAGTAAATTAGGTAAAGGTCAAGCAGGAGTTTTCGGAGAGGTGCGATCAAAGACATGACATTTTGAAGGTCTCTCGTGCACGATCGCTGCCGGGTAGCACCACATACTGGTGTACGCATAATCGGAGCGTCAACATATGAACATGTCACGACATTAGACAGTCATATCCACTTGTCGCATCAATTCGCCTTTGCTGGTCACTTAGTTTAGCCCGACGCGGCTGACAAACTTTATGTGTTATACACATATAACAACATACGCAGAAAAAATTCTTCTCCGTGAGCCTGTCTTGTTTGTCGTTGTTTTTTTCGTATCGGGAAATTTTAAAAGCATGTTTTATATGGATTCTTATTAAGATAAGTGCATGCCCATGTGCTTGGACAAGAAGAATGACGTTTGTGGTTACAAGTGGAGATTAATGCTAAATTATGTATATTTTACTTATTTAGCCCAATCCTGGGACGCAGTGGGCTCCAAAGCGATTAAGGGAGACTGGAGTGATTGGCGGATTACAAAGTCTAGGTAAGCGCTCTCGTGTCTTTTGATATTATCAGAAATATATATTACATATATATAATATACGGTCAGACACCGACATTGGTACACACAGTGATCGATTCGCACTATAACGAGCGAGGGTCGAGCAACAGGGGGCCTGGCTAATCAATGGTTAATTAAATAGTTCACCGCGTAACACGCGTTTTCGTTGCAAAATCGCCAATCGCGTTTCTGTAGGGTCGAACCCGTATATAAGTATTACATAAAGAAAATTGTCCTATATACGCAGGTGCCCGTTCTATAGAGGTGGTTACACTGTGTAGCTGCCACTCAATGGAAGCACCAAAAATGCTCTGTGTGTCCGTTCAATAGATGTGCCCGCTAACACAGGTTTGAATGGATTTCCAATATATTTGTTATATACACGCACATCTTTGCTGTGAGCTGGCGTTTATTAGAGATATCGTAAAGGTAAACACGAATTATACAAGCCCGCTGTACGTATCGTCTGGCACTGATAACGCGAATCTGAAAACATTGAATAAATGGTCGGAATAGCAATTTCCGCGACCTTCAATGTATAGAAAAGCATTCCCGTCGCCAAGGCAACCGTAAAATAGCCGACTACATACGAGGATGCAAAAGTATTCATTCCATAGTCAGTAACATGCGTCAAAGCTTATACAATGTACTGAATCTGCGGCATCTCACACGGCTAAACTCAAATCTATTTGACACGAGAGGGAAGGGTGAAAGATATTGAGATAAAGGAAGAAACGAGGGACGACAGAGAGAAAGCGAGGCGAACATTGAAAGAAGGAAGGAAGGCAGAGAGAAGGGGAGGGAGAGCGATAGTTAACGCAAGTAACTATGCAACGTGTGCAACAGATAATTAGACTACGCGAAAATGATGAAACCTTGCATATCGTTCTCGCCGCGTGAATAGAAACATCTATATGACATTTATAAACCGTAAAAACGCGTCGGAATTAATCGAGACACGATACGCGTCGCGTGCATTATAAACACAATAGACACAATGAATCTTTATTATATAGCTCAGTTATTCATCTATATATCTACAGAACAGAATACCGTCGATCACGGCTTTGGGGGGTCGTAATTGATGCCTGATGAAATAACACGTGGTTTGTATGAGCAACGTCAATAGAAGAGGTGGTGCACTAGCGTTAGATACCGACTGTGCAATCGAATGAGATTTCAAGCTATTGCGCGAACCTCGCCGGGTGTAGAAATGTGCGACGTTAACGTGCAAAACGTGCGATGTATTTCTCTTTACAACGTAAAAGTTACACCACAAATATATACCATGTTGGAGGTCACCCGACCGACCATGAGAAACAATGCCGATACTGAACATTTTATTGCCGAACGTTTACTTTATTTTTCTACGAGTATTTTGTAAAAAACAATTGTAATAACTAATTTCTCCGATTTCACTAGCACGAGATCAGGAAATATAAAATAACCAAAAATTTCATACCTACGTATCCTACCTTCTCCCAGCTACGTTACCCCAAACGTGGTATTTATTTTATTTGACCTTATATTACGTCACAGCAATGACGGCTGTAATACATACTCGAATACCACCATGTCTAATTAAATATTGTAATTTCCTATAAAAAAAAACGTTATTGCGACAATACGAAGGTGAGGAAAAACCTACTGACTTGATGCTTGCGATGCTCGTATACCAGCTATACGCGGACTTTCATCACTCACACGGGGGGTCGCTCTCGAAAATCACTAGTACAGGGTGAAATTACGCAGTCCCACCGCTCGGCTATATACGCCTGGCAATATGGTTGACATTTACACAGTAAACATGACTGGAGCCGATTGAAAGGGACGCGAGTATCAGTTTGTATTGCCTTTGCCGTTGGTACACAGGGGATGCATAGTCGAGTGTCGGATTCACAGCCAGGCACGATATCTATTCAAACAGTCTAACAAAACACGGATGAATGCTTCAGTAATACTCCCCCTAAATTTGACACTTTTATATACAATCTACCATGCACCTATAATCTTCCTGATTCCTGCGCGTTTTGATATAGGGTGCGATCTCTAGCTCTGGAACTGGTGGTAATTAGGTGTTTGGCGGAAGTCAGAAATAATATAATAAACGAGAGTCAGTTGTAGGTAGACCAAAAATATAATATAGATAGGGATGATGATGGCGTAAAATGGAGAGTTGGGGATCGAGAGAGAGAGAGAGAGAGAGAGAGAGAGAGAGAGAGAGAGAGAGAGAGAGAGAGAGA